GCAAACCTATTATAAAAAGGACTTGGGGGAATGATATTAGAGGTTTGTAGAGTTTTTAAAAAAGCCCTTAAAATCTTTGTTTGTGCACATGTGATTTGGAACAGGACATAAGTAGAGAGGTACAAGTACAGATTGGGCAAGACCTGGCTTAAAAACAGCAACTGAGAGGGACCTTGGAGTCCTAGTGGAGAGCTGAGCAACAGGTGGGGACCAAAGATGAATGAGCACCCTAAAAAGGACACAGTATGCCACCTCTCCTGAGGTACAACCCTTGGACAACCTCCCCCCAGTTGTCTACACCAACAGTCCCCAACCTTTCCAGCTTGGTGGTCCGGTTAGGGGGTAGAGGAATGGTTCTGCGCGAATGACAGGCCACAAGCGCATGTGTGCGCAGCTCCATTTGTGCGAAATGCAGGCACATGTGCCCACCTCTCATACAAATGGAGCTGCCACTCACACAAGTGGAGTTGTTTCTGCACACTTGCCTGCTGCTTGCACGGCCCAGTTCCCAAAGTCTACGTGAATACCTAATTCGATAATTATTTAATTATTTTAAAACAATTAATTCCATTATTTCTTACAGGGAAAAAACAAAACTGTAATTTTAAAAAGAAATGTTAAAACCTGTCCAATTCTTCCTTAACTGTCAATCTGTAGATAGCATTAGAGGCTAATACAATTGAAAAGTATTAAGTATAACATAGTGGTAATATAAGGATAGCTAAATAATATGAGTTTATGTCTTCACTCTTTTTTAATTCATAACTCACCATTGACTGTGACATGATAGCGTTTCTAAATTATTGTTGCTGGCTTGTTTAATTTAGCAATTTTTAGAAGATTTTCTGTCAACAATGCCTCAAAGTTCTTTTGAAGGGTTTTATCTGTCGGAACCATGACATTTTTAGTGTTAAGATTTCTAATTCAGAATGAAAGCAACTAACAAATATTAAAAAATTATTGTTGTGTGCTCCTTTAAATATAACATACAAAATTTAGAATAATGATTTAGTACAACTGATTTAGTAAGAATTTGATTTTTGCTTTATTATTCTGCATAATGTCTACATCTTACAGCACAATAGCTGCAAGCCAAGGATGTGGCATCTGAAAACCTTTGGGTAGGGACCTTGACACCCTTCCAAAAATTTGCACTGAAAATTTGTAATGTGATGAAAGAGGGCATTTGTTAAATTTTGGGGGATCAGTTATATTTAATTTTATTTTAATCACAGTAACATGTAAATACAATTAGATTATTTTATTTTGTTTTCTTTAGCATGACACTGCCTACTTTCTGAAGAGCTCTCATCCAGCATGCCCTTCAGGGCCATATGTAACAGGAATGGCTAACCTGACATTTCAGGGCATATAGCCTCTACAGTTCCATTTTCATGATCTGTGTAACTCTCAATTTGCTCCAAATTGGTAGTTTTGTGGGTCATCACTCTGAGAAGGAATGCCTGCTATAGTTCAGAAAGTCATTGACTTACAACCATTCATTTAGTGACTTCTCAAAGTTACAATGGCATTGAAAAAAAGTGACTTATGTCTGTTTTTCACACTTAGGACCATTGCAGCTTCCCCACAGTCAGGTGATCAAAATTCAGAGGCTTGGCAACTGACTCATATTTATGACGGTTGCAGTGTCCTGGGTCACGTTATTACTTTTTGCGACCTTCTGACAAGCAAAGTCAATGGGATTTCACTTAGCAACAGTGTTACTAACTTAATAATTACAGTGATTCACTTAACAACCGTGGCAAGAAAGGTCGTAAAATGGGGCAAAATTAACTTAACAAATGTTTTGCTTAGCAACAGAAATTTTGGACTCAATTGTGGTCATAAGTTGAGGACTACTTGTATATATCCTAAATAACATTTAAAAAAAAACAAAAACCCTCCAATCTCCTAGCAGGAAAAAGAAAAAAAATAGGAAATATTTATTATCTTACACAGGATTCTGGGTGATTTATAGTCAGATCAAATAATAAAATCTGAAGAGAAGCCAGAATAGAAATAAAATAATTAAAAACACATTCAAAGCCCTTAGCGTATCCATGTATGGCCTACATGCCATAGAACCCTGGGGGAGGAGGGTTTGCCTCATTCTATCTACTGAAACTTTGTCTTCAAAGTAAATGTGGGCCCTGTCCATCAAAAGACTGCTTATTACCATCAGTTTGCAAACTATATTTGTGGATATTTTATATTTATGTTGAATCTGAAGGAATTAGCTTTTTAAACATTGTTTTGTGTGATTCTGAAAATTACTGTCTATGTTAGATTGAAGATAAAGAAAAGAACTTTGTTGTGATAACTTACATGACTGAACATATTAAACAATATAAACATATTAAATAAATAATATATTAAATAATATGTCAGGGATAGACTTAAGATAGGAAAGTTCCATTGCTAGTTGAAGGTTTGGATAGAAAAGATTTCTGAATCCAGGCTGTTTAATGATATAGAAATAACAAAATCTCTTCTCCTTTATATTCATAAGGATTAGGAAAAATGGATTTCTTTTAATGAAAAAAATTATGAAACTGTACAAAAATTAAGAATTAAATACTTACAGAAGAAAAAAAAATCTAGAATAAATTTCCAGAGATTAGATGTTATCTTATTTAGGACATTTGATGCTTCTGAATTACTGTTTTGCAACTGGGCCAACTAGAAGTTTCCAATAAACCACAGTCTGGTTTTTTTTCTTCTGTCCATGATCTATTTCTACAGTTCACTGCTACAAGCTAATTAATCTGGAGTAAAATATAACAGCTTTCATAAAACTGGAAATTAACTGGATTTAAGCTAAACCCACTACTGTAGTGAAATTTGTCATCTGAATTCTGTTTGACAAACAATGCATTGTACTCTTATGTATGATTGCAGCCCAAAGATACTGTGGTTAGTTTCCCTGTTATTTATTTCTTATTTTATATACAACTTAATGTAACTTCTACACAAATGATACAATACAATGCTGCCTGCTGTGAGACACTAAATATTTTCCTTCTGAATATGCTCACAGTGCTTTTACAACATAATTTCATGCATCCCATTCTAATTAAAAGTAGAACAGTGCCATTTTATTAAAACCCGGTGGGGGGAAGACTCAAAAGTGTCATTTAAGTTTCTAAAAAGTAAAGTGCTCAGTGTTGAACAGAAAAGAGTGGTTGTTGGAGTGTATAATTGAAGGGATGCTTCTCAGAGAGATGGTTGTGTTTGGAGGTTACTTACTGCCTTTGAAGAAAGTTTAAAAATGTTTGTCTTAATTAATGAGAGATGATATGAACCTTGCGCCAACCCTTTTAAAATAAGTGTATTTATTAACTCCCAGTTGGTTTCAAATACCATTCAAAGAACTTGTTTTAATCTTTAAATAACCTGAATCTGCACCACCCTTAAAGTTTATGAGCTCCCCTTTGTCTTGAAGGCCTGGATACGAGTTCTTACTCAGCCTTATTTATTGTTTAAAAAGAATCTGGAAATAAAGTTGGGAACATAAAAATGCAGCTACTTTTTTTTTTAACATTCTCTTTGCCTGTAGGAGGAGGGTGGTATTTGTTTTTTGGCAGGTGAGTATTGACAGTGACAATATTGCCACATCTGTTTGTTTTCATTCTTTAAGCTAATTATTGTGCAATACTATGTTTTTGTGTAGGTACTTCATAGTTTTTAGATTATGGATAATTATACTACAAAGGGTTTTTTCATGTCTGGATAACATTGTGTCTCTGTGCCTCATAAAGGTTTCTAATTTGCTTGTAGCAGCAATTTATTGTTCATAGACCTTGAAAGTCCTATTCTCTGTGTTTTTTTAACATTCATACATTTTTACCAGCATACTGTTCACCTAGAAGGCAGTTAAATATTGTATTAGGCAAATTTGTCAGGATTCAAATGCAAGTAAGGAGAAAAAAGAAAATACTATTGCATTAATACAACTTCCAGATGCATTCTGTTCTGGAAAATGCCTTCTCAAGTGGCCCATATTTATGACAGTTGCAATGTCCTTCTAAACTGGGTGACAAAAAAATAAAAATTGGAGATCAAGAATAGTAACTGATTTCTTAAAATGATAACTATCTTACCTCAACCACTGCTATAGATGAGTGCTTAAGTGAACTAGCCCACCTACTCAGTTATTGTAGCTTTTGGGTTAAAACCTTGAAAAACAAAGTTATTCTGTTCATAATTATTTCATCATCATTCAACCAATTTGGTGTCTACTTCTGAAAATACTGTTTCTACAATATTGTATATATTATGTATATGCATCTCTCTCTCTCTCTCTCTCTCTCTCTCTCTCTCTCTCTCTCTCTCTCTCTCT